TCTGGGCTCCTGCTCCTGGGCATTCTTCACGTGGCTGCCATTTCTCTTCCCCCATCTCTGCTTCTTTAGCTTGCTTGTTCAAACTCTTCTATATCTCAAAAGAGATTGACTCAAGATATACCCTATACTAACTAAACAACAACAAAAAAAACACAACTCACTGCCATCAAGTTGATTCCAACTCATAGGGACCCCCATTGGGTTTCCAAGACAGTAAATCTTTACAGATACAGACTTTCGCATCTTTCTTCTGCGGAGCAGCTGGTGGGTTCAAATTACCAGTCTTTTGTTTAACAGCCAAATGCATTAACCACTATACCACCAGAGTGCCTTATACCCTATACTAATCCTGTTTTATTAGCATAACAGTGACAACGACTTATTTGTAAGTGGGATTACAACCACAGGCATAGACATTAGGATTTATAACACATATTTTTGGGGAACACAATTCAGTCCTTAACACTCCACCCTTTGCTCCCACCCCCCAAATTCATGCCCTTTCCACATGTAAAATACATTTCATCTCATCACTTCATCTCAAAAATATTAAATTAATTAATTCCACACCCAAATTCCATCCTAGGCAAAATTCTCTGTGTGCCTATGAAAGCTAGAATACAAGTTATCTGCTTCCACAGTACAATGGTGGAATAGGCATAAAATAACGATTTTGAGTTTTGTTCCACATTGTCTTCCCATTCTATCCAGATCTAATGCCAACATTTTTACATGTTAAAAAATTAGCATAGCACATTTATGAAAATACCTCTCAAGGGGAGGGAGCAGTTGGCAAGCAACTGTAGAAGGTGCATGTTATTTGCATGAAAATCTGGTGTATGTGTGTATGGATGGACAGACAGATCTTCACGGTCCATCTATTGGTTTACTGTACTGTGATGGGTTTGTGTTGTTATTATGTTGGAAGCTATGCCACCAGTATTTCAAATACCAGCAAGTTACTCATGGTGGACAGGTTTCAGTGGGGCTTCTAGACTAAGACAGACTAAGAAGAAAGGCCTAGTCATCTCCTGCCAAAAATTAGTCAGTGAAAACCTTAAGGATCACAATAGAACACTGTCCAACTCACTTACTTTAGTCATGTTATCAGGAGGGACTGGTCCCTGGAGAAGGGCACCACGCTTGGTAAAGGAGAGGGTCATCAAAAAAGAGGAAGACCCTCAATGTGATGGATTGACACAGTGGCTGCAGTGATGGGCTCAAACATAGCAATGATTGTGAGGGTGACAAAAGACCGGGCAAGGTTTTGTTCTCTGTTATACACAGGGTTGCTATGAGTTGGAGCCGACTCAATGGCACCTAACGTCAAGAACCACGTATTTGTATGTGTGTATATATACACATAAGGAGCTCTGGTGGTGTAGTACGTAAGGCTGCTAACCAGAAGGTCAGAGGTCAAACCCATCAGCCACTACACAGGAGGAAGATGAGGGAATCTACTTCTGTAAAGATTTATAGCCTCAGAAACCCAATGGCAGTTGCTATGAGCCAGAATCGACTCAACGGCAATGGATTATATGTACACTTTGCTCTCTTAGCCTTTGAGGGATGGCCTTGCTTTTTTAGCCTTTGAAGGATTTGCTTCCCCAACCCTTTCCCCCTCCAAGTATTTTCCACCCGTAGTTGACTGAATCTGCAGACTTGGAACTGTGGATACAGAGTGCCAACTAGACGTTTATCTTTTTCTAAAGGAGCTCTGGTGGCACAGTGCCTGAGACATTTGACTACTAACCAGAAGGTGGGCAGTTCAAATCCACCAGCTTCTCCACGGAAGGAAGATGGGGCAATCTACTTCCATAAAGATTTACCACTCAGAAACCCAATGGGGATCACTATAAGTTGGAATCGACTGTGATTTTGGCTTGGGGTAGTATAGTAAACTGACAGATGGACCATGAAGATCTGTCTGTCCATCCATAGACACATATACCAGATTTTCATGCAAATAACATGCACCTTCTACAATTGCTTGCCAGCTGCTCCCTCCCCTTGAGAGGTATTTCCATAAATGTGCTATGCTAAATTTTTAACATGTAAAAATATTGGCATCATCAGATCCTGGCTAGAGTGGGAGACAGTGACAGTGAGTTTGGCTTGGAGTTTGATATCTATACATATATAGTGATCACTTTAGCATAATGCCTGAGGCACTTAACTGCTAACTGGAAGGCTGGTGGTTCAAATCCACCAGCCACTCTTCGGAAGGAAGGTTGGGCAATCTACTTCTGTAGTGATACTGCCTTGGCAACCCAAGGAGGGGTAGCTATGAGTCGGGACTGACTCCACAGCACATAACAACAACAACAAACGAAGTTATGACATTATTACCTTTACAACCCAGCCTACTCTGATAGGAGCTAATTCACATCACAAAAGAAAAGCCCTACCTACAAGCAGGGTTGTATTTACAGGGTAGGAAGGAGAGACTGAGGGCCCACTATTAATAGAAGCCCCAGACAGAGAGAAAGACACTGTCCATGAGGATATATCCGGCCCCACGGCCTGTTAAAAACAACCTCACTGCTTTTCTGATGACACAGCCCGGCCCACATGTCACCTTCCTAATGCCCCTGTGACGGGACTGGGTCTTGCCCACCATTAAGATCCCAGCACAGTGCTCGGTAAACCACCAATCAGGGTGACTGTGTCCTTACTGGGTCAGAGGGCACATGCCATAGAACAGCAGTTTTTAGGATGAAATCTGGAGCCAGCTCCTGATTCCGGGAGAAATTCTTTTGCAGCTCGCTCACAGTTGGCCGGGTGCCTCCAAAGGCCTTTGGTGGTTCTTGTGCTCTTGGAGACATGGTGCTGAGAAAGCCCCGAAAATCAGGTCATGAAAAGGCCATGGTGTTGGGAAGAATTGTTGGGGTTAGTTGTGGTCTAGTCAACTCTGACCCATGACGACCCCGTACACAACGGACTGAAACGCTGCCTGGTCCTGTGTCATCCCCATGACTGGTTTCTTGGGATCTGCAGGGTTTTCCTTGGCTGGTTTTCAGAAGTTTATTGCCAGGCCTGTCTTCCTAGTCTTAGTCTGTAAGCTCCACTGAAACCTATTCTGCATCCTGGCAACATGCAAGCCTCCAGTGACAAATGGGTGGCGGCTACCCAGGAGTACATTGGCCGGTAATTTAATCTGGGTCTCTGGGTCTCTTGTAAGGAAGGTGAGAAGTCTCCCACTGAACCACAATGTCTCCTATCTTGGGGCAAGTAAAACCAGCAAAGTGGCCCTTAACTGATCGTTTCTCTCAGTGCAAGAAGCAGAAGTTTGTGGATGAAGAGGAGGAGAGCACAGAATGGCCTGAGACAGCTATGTGCCCACTTGGAGGAAGGCCAGGGGCTAGGGGATGAACATACCAGCTGCCAGGCCAGATGGCAGACATCTGCACCTACCTCTCCGAGGGGCTTTCCTCTCTGTCCTTTCCCGTCTGCCTGTCCCAGCTGCTGGGATCAGCCATTTTGGCAACCAGCCTGCCAGGCCCCCGTGGAAGAGTGGCTGCTGGCCTGGTGTGGGCAGTTTCGGATTCCAGAGCTGGCCTGAAGCCCTGCTGAGTCAACCCCATACTTCTCCTCTGTGCTCTGGACCAACCTGCATAGGGTTCTTCCTGGCAGGAGGAGTTTCTCTGCCAGCCTTCCCTTCCAGACATGGTATCAGACTGGGGGTGGGGGGAGGGTTAAGGAAACATTGTTCAATGAATGCATGGTCTCCTGGAATGAACGTGGCCCAGCCCCCCAGCCAATTCTTCCTTCGCCCCAAACTGCCCCTACCCCAGGTTCAGAGTGTTGGAGCTCTCCACTGGGCTGGACCTCCCACAAGGTCCCTGGATGGCAGAAACTGTTTTCCCTCGGATACTAACCTAAAAGTTGGTGGTTTGAACCCACCCATTGGCACTGAGGAAGAAAGGTCTGTTGATCTGCTTTCTGTAAAGATTACAGTCAAGAAAACTCTACGGAGATCCAGGATAGATAGAGAGGGAGAACAATGTGGAACAAAACTCAAAATCGCGCGCGCGCACACACACACACACACACACACACAAAACCGACCAGGTTTGCTAGTCTGATAGAGCCTGGTGAGACCCCTGAAATTATGGCCCCTAGTTACCTTCAGGTGTGGAACTGAACTCACTCTTGTGGCTTCCAGCCAAACAATAGACAGTATGGGGTGAACATTTACATCAGGTAAGTACGCTCCGTGGAGTGATCAATCATGGGCGAACAAAAGGGCAGTGTTGGCTCTGGGAGACAGCTGAGGGGGAGGCAGGGGCGGGAGTGCATGGGAAGGAAAGGGCACAGGGAAGAGGTAACTACGGGGAGGAAGCGGCAAGAGAGCTGGGTGTCTTAAGACGTCTCTCTCCCAAGGTCCAGCCTGGCGGTTCGGGAGGTCACCCCAAAAGCGGGGGATGTTCGAGGAGAGAGGAGCTCCCCTCCCTGCTCGTCCCGGGTGTCTCTGCTGGATTCAGTACACCAGGGACCTTTCTTAACCATCGCTCTCAGCAACCTCCCCCGCCCCAGCTTCTGACTTGAGGAGGGGTCAGGAATGCTGCCGCCCACTTCGCCCTTTCCCCCACTGAGCGAGATGTGAGTGGAGTTGAGGGGGCTCGGATTGCGGTGCTAGGGATGTGGAGGAGAGTCACGTCTCTCTTGTACGCAGGGTAGGATAGTGGGGGGAGCCAAAGTTTTGCACTCCCCGGTGCCCCCTCCTCATAACCACCCGCCTCCAACGCTCAAGGACCCCTCCCCTGCCACACGCCCCGCCCCGGCACTCCCAGTGCCCGGCCTCTGAGGCTCCCCGCCCCACCCCTGCATGAGTCATAAATGGGGCACTGGGAGCCAAGGGGACACTCCGAGCGGAGCTGGCCCGTGGCTACTATCCGAGTGGCTTCTGCACCCGAGCGCGTCTCTGCCAGGGGCCCCGGGGCTCCTGCTCTACGTCTCGAGCCCCGCGCCCGCCTTGCGTCGCGCGTCCTCGCGCCCCACTCCCGGTGCCCAGGCCTTCCCGGAAGATGCGCTGCGCGCCTTCAGCCGGCGCAGCCCTGGTGCTGTGCGCTGCCACCGCCGGACTGCTGAGAGCGGAGGGCCGCCCCGCGCCGCCCGAGCCGCCGCGCTTCGCGTCCTGGGACGAGGTGAACGTCCTGGCGCACGGACTGCTGCAGCTCGGCCACGGGCTGCGCGAGCACGTGGACCGCACCCGCGGGCAGCTGGGCGCGCTCGAGCGGCGCCTGGAAGCGTGCGGGGCTGCCTGCGGGCAGGCAGCGGGGATCACCGCCTCCCCGCACGCTTCCGCGAACCCGGTCCCCGACGACAAGGCTGTGCCGGAGACCTTGCGCAACTTGCAGGTACGTGAGTCCTGTCCGGCCTGAATACGTATGGGCAGGTGGGGGTGTATCTTGTGCTCCCCGGGCCCCCAGTCCCTGTTCTCAAAGGATGGAAAGATGGAAGCACAAACGATGGATGAATGGCTAGGCTGGAGGCAGGGGCCGAACTCCTCACCTGGTCTTTGCCTGACCTCCCTAGACGCAGCTCAGAGCTCAGAACAGCAGGATCGAGCAACTGTTCCAGAAGGTGGCCCAACAGCAGCGGCACCTGGAGAAACAGCACCTGAGGATCCAGAATCTACAAAGCCAGGTGCCTGAGCCTATCCCAGGCAGGGAGGGTGGCCCATGTTGGGTCTGTAGATTCAGATACGAGCTGGGCGAGCCCTGCAGTCTGGGCGTGTTGGACCTGACACCCTCTTCCTCCCTGCCCTAGGTGGGCCTCCTGGCCACCCCACACTTAGACCATGAGGTGGCCAAGCCTGCCAGGAGGAAGAGGCTCCCCAAGATGGCTCAGCCTGTGGACCCTGCACAAAACGCCAGCCACCTGCACAGTGAGTGCTGGGCCCTTTACTGACCTTTGGCCCACCCCTCCCACTTGCCATCCTTGTCTACCTCCTTGTCAGCCTCACTATGGAGAAGGCCCTGGCCTCGGGTCCTTGTGGGCTCATCAGCCTTCCCTGGGCACCTCCTTCCATTTCAGCCTTGAACCTGCCAGCAGGACCACCCCACCCTTCTTCCCTGCAAGTCACAGGTTTTTCCCAAGTCCTGCTGGTCACTAACTGGAGCAGGGGTTGGGAAAGAGGGACTATGAGGGACTTGAGTTTCAGGGAGGGGTCAGGGGATTAGCTCAAGGACACCTTCCTGGAGGACAGAACCTTCTAGAAGGGCATGATGGTGGACGAAAGGCCCTGGGGTGGGGAGAATGGAGGCCTTACTGGATGAAGCGAGAATGGCTATCTAGGAGGGTCATTTTGAGACTTGGGGCCCCTCCCCACCCCAAGATCTCTGTGGGATGGAGAGGTAAGGGGGCCAGGGCAGGGAACCCACCTCCCAGCCAGACACATTCATTCTTGCAATTCTTACAAACCCCAGGTCCCTGACCCATACACCTGGTCCCTCACCCTTCCCCTGACCCCAAAACTACCCCCCCCCCGTAGAATCCCACTCCCTGAAGGGAGTCAGGACCCAGGAGAGTGGCTTTTGTCACCATCCCAAGCAAGCCCTACCTCTTTGATGGTGTATGCCCCAAATCTCCCCAAATCGCAGGCCGCTGTGCGGTCTGTGTGTATCTGACTCAGGCACTCAGGTCCCTGCAGCTCTGCCCCACCCTGAGTTCACAGACGCAGACCTTCCTTCCATGTGTTCTCCGCCCATGCCTTAGTAGTCACACAGTTTGGCATCTGAACCTCTCTTGGGCCAACTGGGTGAAAGTTCTCATCACCCCCCTTCACACCCTTGGGCTGGGTGCTGGCTCCCAGCCCTGCCTGTAGCATTAAGAGCTCTCCTGCCCCAGGCTATCCCCCCCACCCCCTACCCCCTGCCAAACCTCAGGCGTGCTGCCTAGTGTGGCGAGGGTCAAGTATACCCTTTCTAACCCAGGCTTTGGAGGCGGAGAGTCGGAGAGCAGGCAGCAGCCTGGCTGGGGCAAGTGCCGGCGGGAGGACTTGGGGGACGCGTGGGTTCGGGACTCCCAGAGTCCAGGCTTTGCCCGCCAAGTAGGGGAAAGTTCAGCGCTGGGGAGACAAACAGCTGGCGCTAATGAAGACCACATTGGCGGTTTGGCCACGCGCCTGTCCTGATTGGAAGAGAGGGAAGTAGGGGAAAGGGGAGCTGCCGGAGGGGCCGGAAAGTGTCCTTCCACCCCCACACTCCCTGCAGCCTAGACACACTCGCTTGTGTCCGCGGGCCTCCCCTCCCCCGGCGACCTTTTGCCTACTTTCCCGGCTGGGCTGGAGGCGGGGACTTTTCCAAATCCCGCAGTGTCTTCTCCCTCCTCTGGTCCTCCCAACATCCAGCGTGGCTTGGACCCCCCTACCCCACCCTGGCAGAAGCCTATGTCTGCTCCTCCCAGCCCGCTCCGGTTTCCATCCCATCCCCCAGTCAAAGGAAACCAGACCCTCTGTCTGAAGCCCAGCTCCCTCAGCCATACATTCATCACTCATTCATTAACCATTCGTTTGTCCAGCAAGTCTTTACCGAACACCTAAACCAAAAACCAAACTGCTGTCATCAAGTCGTTTCTGACTCATAGTGACCCCCGTTGGGTTTCTGAGGCGGTAAATCTTTATGGAAGTAGATTGATTGCCCCATCTTCTTTCTGTAGAGTGACCAGTGGGTTTGAACCTCAAATCTTCTGGTTAGCCGTTAAATGCCTTAGGCACTATGCCAATGGACTTCCTGGGTGGCACAAACAGTTAAGTTAGTGGTTGGAACCCACTCAGAAGACTCTCAGAATACAGGCCTGCTTCGGAAAGATGACAGCCTTGAAGTCCGTATGGTCCACAGTCCTACACTCCACACGTGGCGTTGCTATGAGTTATAATTGACTTGATGACAACTAATTTGAGTTCTCATTGGTTGTCATGGGTTAGGATCAGTAGGTGCCAAGGTGAGGGCTAAGAGCCACTCCCCGACCTTAGCTTCACAGAGGCCCCATGCAGTGGGAAGGGGAACCAATAGAGAACCCTAGTGTTGGGGTATGGGAAGCCCACTCTGCTCATTTTGAGGGGTCTGGCCTGGGCTGGTGGTAGGAACAGTTAAGTGCTGGACTATTAACCGAAAGATTGGCAGTTCAAACACACCCAGAAGTACCTTGGAAGAAAAGCCTGGTGATGTGCTGTAGAAATGTCCCAGCCTTGAAAACACTATGGAGTACAGTTCTAGTCTGGCACACAGTGCAGTGGCCAGGAGTTGAAATTAGCTCATTGCAACTGGTTTTGGCTAGTCAGGGAAGGTGTCCTTTTTTCAGAAGCTAAAGCCTGAAGCTCTGGTAGCATAATGCGTAAGGCACTGGACAGCTAACCAGAGGGCTGGTGGTTCAACTCCACCAGCAACTCCTCGGAAGGAAGATGGGGCAATCTACTTCCGTAGTGATACTGTCTCGGAAACCCAGGGAGAGGGAGAGGTCACTATGAGTCGGTCCAACTCATGAGTCGTCCAACTTGCGAGGGCACATAACAACAACAACAACAAAGCCTGAAGCATGAGGCAGGGAGAGGGATGATGGAAGAGAGTTCTCCTCTGCTGAGGGACCAGCATGTGCAAAGCCCTTGAGGCAGGGAGGGTTCAGGCTTCAAAGAAGACGGTGGGTGGTGGGGAAGGAGGCATGTGTGGCAGAGGGGCCCTGAGGATAGCCACAGGGACCCATGGGAGAGTCTAGGTGGGAGGAGTGTGGGATCAGAGCTGCTCCTTCCTCCCTTTCACCTACTGCCCACCCTCAGATAACTCCTGAGACCCTGGGTGAGGGTTGATTTCCTGCCTCATCCTCCCCGTCTGTCTACAGGGCTGCCCCGGGACTGCCAGGAGCTGTTTGAAGAGGGTGAAAGGCAGAGTGGACTGTTTCAAATCCAGCCACAGGGGTCTCCACCATTCCTGGTCAACTGCAAGATGAGCTCAGGTGGGAGGCTCGGGATACCCTCTGGGCACAAGTGCTGTGTGTGTCGTTTCCATAAGCACCACCCTTTCCTTAGCAGTCTCAGAGGTGGGTTCCCAAGGTGAGCCCACGCTGAGACCTGAAGGGTGCCCCTGGGAATCTTTGCAGACTTCCGCTGTCCCTCTCTGCCTTCCTCCTTGCTTGCTTGGGTCCTTAGGTGTCAGGAGTTGGCCATGGGAGTCCCCTCCCTTCTGGTCACCCTGCAGAGTCATCATCTTCTCAGGACTTACCTTCCTCCAGCTCCCCGGGATGTTTGAGGGGACCCTCACCCTCCCTGGATTTGGAGGGGGTTTGGGAGCCAGACAGGCAAGTCAGGGTCCCCGTGAAGAAAGTCCCCCTGGTGACCTTGTCCCCTTCTCTGGACAGACGGAGGCTGGACGGTGATCCAGAGGCGCCAGGATGGCTCTGTGGACTTTGACCGGCCCTGGGAAGCCTATAAGGCGGGCTTCGGGGACCCCCAAGGTAGGTATTTCCAGCAGGGCTATAGGGGGCAAGGGAGGAAGTGGGAGTGCCTGTGGGGTGGTGGTTCCCTGACCAAGCGGCCTCTCCCCACTGCAGGTGAGTTCTGGCTGGGCCTGGAGAAGGTGCACCGCATCACAGGAGGCCATGGCGGGCGCCTGGCCGTGCAGCTGCAGGACTGGGAGGGCAACGCCGAGTCTCTGCAATTCCCCGTCCACCTCGGGGGCGAGGACACAGCCTACAGCCTGCAGCTGACGGCTCCTGTGGCCAGCAAGTTGGGCGCCACCGCCATTGCTCCCAGTGGCCTCTCCCTGCCCTTCTCTACTTGGGACCAGGACCACGACCTCCGTGGTGACAAGAACTGTGCCAAGACCCTTTCTGGTGAGCAAGCCCTGTCCCGCTGCCTCTTGTCCAGTCTTGTTCCGCCCTGCCCCCACCTTGCCCCATGCAGCCTGGGCCCCCTCTGTGCCTCGGTTTCCTTGCCCTGTCCTCAACCCCAGATTTCATCGATTCCCCATTCCCTTTCTTACTTGCTCAGTGCTTTGAGCAACTGATTGAATTCCTGCAGCCTCGGTTTTCCCACCTTTAAAATGGATATAAGCACGATGCTCACCTTTTAGGATTATTATGGAAATTCAATGAGATGCTGTATGTGGGATGGTGGCTGGCACATGGTAAAGTCATCAAAACTCACCCTGTATTGTTCTAATGAAACTGGAGGCAGAGTGCTGGCTCCATGGAATGAAACCAATGAAACGGCCCTTTTGGTGGGTCTGAAAGTGGTGGAATTCTTGGTCATTTCATACGTGTCAATCAAATATAAACTGGAGAAACTGATGGCAATTGTGGAAAATGTTTAACAAGTGACTGGCCGAGGTCACAGATATGAAAGCAGATTTTGCTTTGGTTAAGGAGAAGGGGGGGACCTGATCCCCCTCTGTCACAACCTGGGGTTTGACAACCAGTTTGACAACCACTGCCAAAGTCCCACATAATGAAAAGTCCAAGCCTACCCCCATCCCCATGCCCAACCCCAAGTGCAGCCCCAAACCCCATCCTCACGCCTAACTCCACTCCCAATCCCACCCCACCCCCACCCAGCCCCAACCAATGGATGCCCAAGGACCTCCACCTCACTGGCTCCCTCCCACCTGACCCCACAGGCGGCTGGTGGTTCGGCACCTGCAGCCACTCCAACCTCAATGGCCAGTACTTTCACTCCATTCCACGGCAGCGACAGCAGCGTAAGAAGGGCATCTTCTGGAAGACCTGGCGGGGCCGCTACTACCCACTGCAGGCCACCACCATACTGATCCAGCCCACAGTGGTTGCCTCAACCTCTTAGCCTCCTCGCTGGGGCCTGGTCCCAGGCTCCTAGAAGGCAGTGACTCTGGTTTTGGCCACTCCCTGCCCGGGCAAGGGCTCCAGGCAAGGGCTGCGTGGAGCCTGGTGGACAGAGAAGAAACCCGTGACTGGAGAAGCCCCTTTTCTGTATGGGATCTGCATGTGTTGCCCGCCTTTTGAGATCAGCAGGGCTGCAGGGTACACACAGACCCTGGGTACATGGGGCCAAGGGGCATTTAGTCCTGTTCCTTGTCAGCCTGAGGAGTGGGAAATGGCAGAGGGACCACTTGGGGGCAGCCAGGCTGGCCCTCGATGGCAGAGTGTCATGACTATCCAGGGCCCTGCGTCCCAGTGGGCCTGGACACCCTTGTGGTGCTGTTGTGTGTGGGTGCTGTGGGACCAGCTGGCGCCAGTGGCGTCTGAAACACAGCTCACAGATTTGGAATAAAAGCAACCTTAGAACATTTTGTTTTTCTTTGTCCTTTGGTTTGTTTTTAAAAGTGGACAGTTGCAAAGTCCACGTAAACATGTTCCCAGGGCAGAGGGTGAACACTCCCACGTCCCTTTAGGACAAGTGACTCTTCCCACAGCCAACAGGTTTCAGTTTCCTTCAATAGTTCACAGATGGGTAGCTCATGTTTTTTTTAATTTTTAAAATTATATAGAAAAAAATAATTCCTCACAATTCAATCATGATGGAAGCAGATATGAGAGAAAATGAGCATCTCCTTCCTAAACATGTTTCCACATAGGAATACCAGTTAACTTTTTAGTGCTGGGCTGTCTGATAGAAATATATTGTAAGTCACGCATACGATTTTACTGTGCTCCTTGGAAGCAAGGATGGTGAGACTCACTTTGGATGCGTCATCAGGGAAGATCAGTCACTAGAAAAGGACGTCAGACTTGGTAAAGTGGAGTTTCAGGGAAAGCGAGGAACATCCTCCATGAGATGGGGTGACACCACGGCCACAACAGTGGTGAAAATGACGTCAGGGCAATGTTTCCTTCTGTTACACAAAAAGGCCTCTGTGAATAGAGCCCACTTGGTGGCAACAACAAAATAGCCACATTGTTCTTTTTGTAAGAAAATGATACTAAAAATATATTTTATTTACCCCCATTATATTACTATATTAGTTTCCTGGGGTTGCTGTAACAAAGTACCATAAACTGGGTGGTTTATGAGAACAGAAATGTATTTCACGGTTCTTGAGATCAGGAGTCCAAACAGGGTGTCAGCCATGTTGAGTCCTGAGGAAGAATGTTCATGCCTCTCTTCTCAGTCTGGTGTTACCTGGTGATCCTTGGTGTTCCTTGGCTTGTAGATGCATCTTCACATGGCCGTCTTCCCTGTCTGTCTTTTTTATAAGGACACCAGTCATACTGCGTTAGGACCCACTATACTCCAGTAAAGGAGTTCTGGTC